TGGTCGTCAGCCTTGGCGGGCAGGTGTCTCTACCTGCTAAGCCACGTCATCACCCCTGCTGTGGGGAATGCAGAGCCCTCTTCCATCACAGCACCCCTGTCACGAACCTCAGGAAGTCTCACTGCTCACAGTCAGCACAGCCCTGCCTGGAGGGCTCTGCAGAGACCCCACAGACTCCACTCTGTGGGAAATCTGCTCTTCGTTTTGGCGCTGGAGGAAATTAGCCTTAGGCGGCCGTAGCTGGGCCAGGGCGGTAACACTGTTCTTACATGAACGACAAACAAACATACGTTTTGACTCAAGCCGTTACTGTCCGTGTGAGACTGGACATACCGTCTCCAAGGTTCAGGGTCTTAGGTCCTGAAGTGGGAGCCCTAGGTGTTCCTAATCCTGATGGTTGCTGAGGGATGAGGCCCTGTATGCCGTACACCTGGCAGGGGGACGCTGGAGTTCAGTAAACGACACCTAGCTGCTGGCCCCAGGTGATAGGGCTAGAGCAGCAAGTTGGGTCCCAGCCATGGCCTCTGGAGTTGAGTGGCAGAGCTACTTGGGAGCCAGGAGTGAGCGGGACTGGGCGTGGTGGGGCTGATCTTGAACTAAATGACTGGGAGTGGCTGAAAGTTGGGCTGGGAGATTGAGGCTCTGAAGGGGAAATTCAGATACCTTGCTTCTGGTAGTTGATGCTGAGCTACTTGGTTCCCTTAACTGAAGTGGAACCAGAGGGGAAATAGCACAGCCCTGATATTTTTGTCATGGGAAACTGGGAACTGGAGATTCACAGTGCTTTGGGGTTTGCCTGTGATGGGAAGATAAGAACTTCCTCTTTGTGTCTGTGGATCCACTGTTACTAAGATGTGCTAACCCTGAGATTCCAGTGAGCAAAGGGTGTCTCGGGAGAGCCTCCTTCCTCACTGACACACCCTGAGGTGTGCTGAGCACCCTGGGTGAAAGCACAGCTAAGAACCTGGGGATGCGTTGGGAAGAGAAAGATGAGGGGCCTTGGATAGCAGAGTGAGGGATGGCGGTTCTATCTGACCTGGACCTGCTTTGTGAGTCTTGGGATTTTACAGGGAACAAAGCCCCACACAAGAGGCCTCCAGCCTTAGAAACAAAGCCTGACACCACCAAAGACTGGTGAACAGCGCCACCTCCTGGTTGCCTCAGGCTATGACCCTCCTCCTCTGGCAGAACCGCAGGGCTTTTAGGGAGGACACCCGTGGGCCAGTTTTAGCATCCTGGAATAAAGCCACCCATTGAGCTCCTTTTTTTTTTTTTTTTTTTTTTTTGTGAGCCCTAGATTCTGTTCCTTTACCAAACCCTCCTCCTCACCAATACAGCTGCTATTTGGACCATGCTCTGATTACAAACTTTGCAGACTCAATGGTGGATCACCTTTGGTCCCCAGCATCTGGAGGGGCTTAGAGAAAGAAAACATCCCCCCCACATATAAAAGCGTCCATCTCCCCAGGGGAAAATGCTTCTTGGAGAGCCAGGTTCAAGGCCTTCAGCAAGGAGAGGTAGCCTGAAGTAGTATCTCTGTGGCATGATGCTTGCATTAACTCCTATAGCCCAGTGGACATTGGTTCATAGTTCACTTGCCACAGGTGAGATATTCCAAGCAAAAAGAACGCTAGAACTGCTACTTAAGGGGGCAGGACCCAAAGGTGTCACGCCCCACCCCCCACCCTCCAACCCCGGGTTTGCTCCATCTTGGCCAGTGAATTTGAGACAAGCGCTGCATTGCTGAGCTGCGTCTCCAGCCCAATAACTGGTTAAATAAAAAAGAACGAACTAATGGAGAGACGAAGTTATATTATATAAATGCAGGTTTATTGGGAGCATCGAGGGAGGGGGAAGAGGAGAACATGGAGGGGGAGGGAAAGAGAGGGCAGGAAGTGGGGCAAAGAGGGAGAAAGGGCAGAACAAGGGGACCAAGAAGTCAGGTTCTATAGGGAAGGGCCTCTGGGAGAGAAGCCCCGGCCCTAGGTGGAGGGCAGGGTATGGCATCCACATCCTGCAGTAGATAGGGTCTTTAACAGCCACCTCCCCCTTTAAAGTTTTTATTGAGAACTACCGAGGCTGGCCTTGAACTCACACTGCAGCCCCCAGGTGGTCCTTAACTTTGTGATCCTACTAAGAAGCTGGGGTTAGAGGCCAGCTCTAAGGGTGTAGGCTAGGCTTGACCCTGCCTCCTCATGGGAGAGCTTGCCAAGTGACCTCCTCCGAGGCAGCCTTTTCTTCTTTCTTTCTTTCTTTCTTTCTTTCTTTCTTTCTTTCTTTCTTTTTTTCTGTTTTCTGAGACAGGGTTTCTCTGTGCAGCCTTCGCTGTCCTGGAACTCGTTCTGTAGAACAGGCTGGCCTTGAACTCACAGAGATTCTCCTGTCTCTGCCTCCCAGAGTGTTTGGATTACTGGCATGCGCCACCAGGCCTGGCTTTTCTTAAAGAAACAAGAACTTCAGAGTCCCCACGCAGTGCGAGCATAATTGTCCTGGGAGAGCCCACAGACCATTGAGGAGGACCAACTGGGCTATTTACAGAAAAAAGAAACTAAGGCTCAGAGAAATCGAGGGACTTCATCTGGGGCCACCCAGAAAGGCCACTGCAGCCATCACTGGTGGCCTGGCTCTGACAGAACACACATGCGCACTCACGTGACACCTGCTACCAAGGACCCCACAAATAGACCTGGAAGGGCAAGAGGGATGGTAAAGAAAATCGGAAAGTCTAGGGTCTGGGCCTCCTCTTCTGCACTTTGGCCCGGGACAGGCTGGGATTGCTTCTATTCCTTCAGGAAAGACATGAAAGCAGCTTTCACAAAGCGGGGTCTGAGGCCCACAGATAGGCCCCTTTGTGGACGGACTCCCGCTCCCCATCTCCCATGCCCAGCCTTCAGCAGCCACCTCTTTGAATGGCTGGCTTTCACACTGGAAATTTGCAACACAAATGTGCCCTGTCTCCTTCTCAGCCTAGCCACACTGCCCCAGCCTTTTAGAATCTGCCTCTCTCTGGGGTGCTTTCTTTTTCTTCAGCTCAAGCCCGGGGACCCTAGATACAGCCAAGATCACTAATTAAGGCTTGGGTTAAAAGCGAGACTTGGGAAAGAGCCAGCGCTGAGCGAGGCCAGCCAGAGTGGAGCGGTGGGAATCGGAGGCGGTGGCTGGACTTTCATTCTCTGGACTCTTCCTGGCATTCTCGCTCCATCTTCCTAGTGGGCTAAGGGACAAATAAAGCTTGTCAACAAGATGGCTCCCAGCTCCCCTAGCCATGCTGCCCGGCTCTCTGGGCTCAGGACTGGACGTAAACTGTACCTGCTTCACTTCCTCACTGGGGAGGCTGGTGTGTGATCCCTCCCATGAAAATGCAATAAGTGGGATGCAGAGGGATCGGGTGCCTTTCCCAGATACACATATGGGGCAGAGGGCTGTTCCATCTAAATCCAGGCCTACCCTGGCCTATGTGTCTGTTTTAGGCTCCTTCTCTAGCCTGTCTGACGAAGTGCCTCCTGTTTAAGGTGACTTTTCCTTCCCCCAGTTCTTGAGCACTATCCTGTGTTTTTGGAATCGAAGCTCCTGCTTCTCACAGGTTGCCCTACTTCTCAAGGCCCAAGTGCAGTGCAGAGGACAGAGGCCCCTGTTGGCAGAGATGAGACCCTGGCCCTCAGGACAGCTAATCCAAAGAGTTCCATGAGCTCTGGGGGACCTAATTAGATGTTTAATAGAAATTTGTAAGAGAAGGAAATAAATGCTCCCTTAAGAACTGGCCAGACAGTGCTTTCTCGCACTGGAGGGAATGTACATGGAGCAACTCCTGAACTCAAGCAATTTTGCCTCAGGCTCCTAAGAAGTTGGCGCTGAGCCAGGCAGTGGTGGCACACGCTTTTAATCCCAGCACTCGGGAGGCAGAGGTAGGCAGATCTTTGTGAGTTCGAGGCCAGCCTGGTCTACAGGTAGTTCCAGGACAGCCAGGGCTACATAGAGAAATCTTGTCTTGAAAAACAAAACAAACAAACAAACAACAACAAAAAGAGCTGGCACGGCAGGTTACACCCCAGTACTCAACTAGGCCCTTTTAAGAGTCAGTTTTCTAAGCTCTGTTTATAGACATTTTCTTCTCCAAAGAAAATAAACTTTTAAAAAGTTTGAAAGCTGTTATTCCCAGGTCTACAAACTGAGGCCTAGAGGGCAGAAGGAGCTTGTGAGGGTCACGGACTTGTGATTGACAGGATGGGAGAGGAGGCAGGTATCCGATCTTTGTGGGGATCTCTCTCTACTGGTCCACAGAGCCGCACGGGAAGCCAGGGCCTCTCCCTCAAACATTTTTACGCTTTTTTTTTGAGAAATGCTTAGCTACAGGCTAGAGAGTTCTGGAAACATCACAGGTCTACCAAGGTCTCCATTTCTTTCCTCTCCTTCCCTCTTCTCTGAGGCAACTTCCATGTTGGGCTGTCTTGATACACGACAGGTTGCTCCAGGGCTCGGCTGTCAAAATCTGCTTGTTGACAGCAGCAGCTGGTGTAAAACAAACACAGGGGAATTCTGATAATTGGATGACAAGGGAGACAGTGAACAATTTTCCTCACTAAAGGGAAAAAAAAAAACAAAACCACTTATTGGTAATATTGTCTACTCCACAATGAAATAAAGTTATGTGTGGACAGACCAGAATTGTATGACCTTGAAAAGGCACAGATTTTTGGGAGAATGAACAAAACCATGACATTGTTGTAAATATAATTACTAGAATCTCAGTATTATTCACTATTTTTCTCAGAAAAATCATTCAATATTATACGCTGTTCACCCCCACAAAGACAAAGGGAGGGTTCACTCTGGGTATTAATTTATGGGGGCATAAAGGCAATTTTCCCCATTACAGTTAGGTCTATGTGGTGCTAAAAACGGTGCACAGGCTGACTTTTGCGTAATTGACTCTCTGACGCTGGCGACGCTTAGGCAAATGAAGGTATAAATGTGAGTGCGTGGCGGTGGCTGGAGCGGATGCCCAGCCTGAGGTCAGTGGGACCTGAGCAGTGCTTTGGAGAGGGACACCTGTCACATCGGAGGTGAGAGGGGGTGATCCTGGAGGTGGGGCTGGATGGGAGCAAGAAAAACAGACATCTCGTCCACTAACAGAAGCCAAGTCAAACGGCCCGTGGCCAGCCTCTGTGTCCGTGGGCTGCGGAGGACATGCGTGTCCACTCTGAGTGCAGTGGCCTTCCATAGAGACTCTGCAATGTGCATTTGGTGGCTGGTGCCCTGTGGGGGCTGCAGTGAAGATGTACTTGGACACGTGGAGAAGTGGCAGGCAGAAGTGTTGCAGGAGTTGGTGAGAGTTAGATTGGTCTTGGGAGCCTTCCAGGGTGTGGGGCAGGCTTCTGGGTTGAGGCGTGAGCTGGCTGGGTTCTCACACCAATGACAGGACTCAGCTGTGCATCCAAGAGCAGTCCAGTTGCTGCTAGAGATCAATACGGCTCATCGACCACACAGAGCCAACTCAGGATAATTGCCTGGAAATTGGTAACATTTTGCTTTTCCCTCAATTGCAGCCATGCTCCTTGCTCTAATTTTCAGTCACAATTGTCGGGTCTTGGAGGCTTCAACTACTCAATGTCTGACCTCTGCTCCTTGCTTGAATAGACCTGAAATACTTGTTATTATCATCATCAGTATTGTTGTCTAGCAAAAACTGCCTCACATCCTTCTTTGTCACGTACTTCCTTACTGAAAACTTAAGATTTGGTGTGGGGGTGTGGTTCAGTGTTAGAGCTTTGCCTAGAATGTGCAAAGCCCTGAATTCCATCTTTGGCATCACAAAAACAAACAAACAAACAAACAAACAAACACTCAGCTTCAGATTTCTTTGCACTAGAAGTGGTTTTGGTCGAGCGACTTCAGAATTGGACTCTGTGCTTTGGGGTTCTGTGCTGCAAAGGAGAACACTTAACAAAAACAGAAAATCCCCTGGAGGGTTTCGAAGCGCCCTTGCTTGAATAGACATTTGAGACCCAGGTTCTGTTCAGTTTGCCACAGATGTGTGTCTGTAGAATTCTCCTGGTGCTGGTGGTGGGAGGCTGGCGAATGGTGCCAACCCATGAGGACTGACACTCCTTTCTGCCTACATTCAAGATCCCATCTGTGTCTAATCCCAGAATTAGCCCTGCCGAAAGCTGGTGCTTCAGGACCTAGAGCTCCTCCGTGGACCTGGCAGCTGGACTTGGGCCACGGTGTCACATGGCCCATTGTCAGCGGCTACCTCACGGTCTCCGTTTCTGTCTTTGTGCAGTCTGGGTGATTCCTGTTGTCGTGCCAATCTGTGTTCACGGGGTTGGGCAGCCCCGCGCAATAAGCCTGCATAGCTGGGGTTGTTGTAGAGACTGCACCCGTCCCTGGGGCAAACGGGCAAGAGCAAGTGTTGAGTTTCTTGCTTGAACAGACTGTGCAGCAACTGAGTCTTGTTAGGAAGGAGGACGGGGTCTGCGGTGTTATTGGGCTTGCAAAATTGTTCTCCTGCAGCCTGCCCTCTGATGGAGAAGTTCAAGTCCTTTGACATGGGACAGGGGTGGGGAGGGAAGTGCCGATCAAGCAAGTGTACCTGTTTGTCCCTTTTTGACTTCTGGGAGGCCCCGTGATAAAGAGCAAAAGCTTTTTTCTTTCCTCCAGAACCCTTTCCCACGTGCAGGTGACAAATCCTGAAGGCCCCATGAATAGGGAGAACTGTGAATAGGGTATTGTAGCTGAGAAAATGCCTTGCAAGCAGGAGGAAGTCTGCTGGCCTGGGAAGTAAGGGCCCATTCTGAAGTTATTTTGATGGAGGACCATGTGAAAAATGTTCTTTTTTCTCCTTGGGCCCTGGGCTCGGCTGTGAAATGAGGCTGAAGGTGCCTGCTCTGATGTGGGTGTGAGGAGGATAGGTAGGCAAGACAGGCCATGGGATGGCAGTGGGAACTTGGGTAGAGACTGGGAGCTCCTTTTGAACTCTAGGGAGCAGTGCAGGAGGGGAGGAGGAGGCAGAGAGCTTAGGCCAAGAGTAGGGCCTGGGTTTCATGCTAGAGGGTTTTTGATCATGGGAGTAAAGAGACCAGGGGCCTGGAGTTAGGAAGGAGGTGAGAAGTCAGTGCGTGTGGAGAGGCAGGAAGTGCAGTGCTTGTGTCAAGGGAACCTCCTTATGTCCAAAGAGCTCCCTGTTTGAAAACCCCACTTCTGGAGAGGCCCAGCTGGGAAAGGAGTGGCCTGGTGTGGTTCAGGAGGAAGACATAGAGTGCAGATGCCTGGCCCAAGAAACAACACCTAAGTCAGAAGAAAATGAGGCCTGGGGTGGGGTAAGGGGGCTGAGGTCACAACGAACAGTTCCCAGGACCCAAGGCACCCCTGACCAGAGGAGGCCAAAATCTACAGAAGGGGCCTGAGAAGAGTGAACCTAGGAAAACATGGTGGACTGAGTTAGTGCTGGTCCTGCCTGCAGGAGTCAGCCCTCAGTGGGACCAGGGAGAGATAGTAATCATGGGAATGGAAGGGTGATGCCTCAGGGACCAGTCAGCTCCTCCAGAGCAGACACCCTGTGAAGACCCAGAGGCTCTACACCAGGGCAGGCCAGAGCTGACAGGTGCATCCTCTTGAGCCAAGGCAGCACATCAGCTAATCGCAGAGCATGTTGTTAACAGGCCGAAATTAAAGGTAATTATGAAGTCTGTGAAGATTCTGGCACACTCACACTTGATGCTCCCCTTCCCAGGGCTAATCCTCTGTGAATGTAACAGTTCTTCCAGGTGTGGTGGCACATGTCTGTAATCCCAGCTCCCGGGAAGCTGAAGCAGGATTATGAGTTAGACATCATCCTGGCTACATAGTGAGTTCCAGGCAAGCCTCAGCTACATTTCAAGGTGCTATCTCAAAGATGTAATCTTCTGAAATGAGAAGGTTCTCCTTTTGTCCTAACTCCACACAAAATGAAACAGTGGTGAATCTACCCTCTGAATGAAGTATTAGGTGACCATGGTAAAAGTTTCTTAAGAGTTCTTATGTGCCAAGCTATTAACTTGGATGTTTCTTCTCACCTGACCTGATAATAATGGTTATTATCATCATCTTCTGGCTGGGGAAACTGAGGCTCAGCTAGGGTAAGCACGGGTAGTGAGAACCAGGATTTGAGGTCAGGTTTATCTGTGAACATGGCAAGCCCTCTGCCCACTGCTGTCAGCCAAGCAGGGGCAGATGCTCTCCTCCCTTGTCTGTCCTTGAGGGAGGCTGTTCCCCTCACTTTCCAGGAGAGGAAGTTTCACTGTGAACTGCTTTTTCTGCTCAGCCCAATGAGGTGGTCAGTGTGGCTTCATTCCAGGTAGGGAAGTCGGAGCTGAGGGCTGACAGTGCAGAACTTGAATCCAGGTGTGTCTGACTTTCAAAGCCCTGCAGCCAAAGGATGCAGACCAGGGCTTGTCATGCAGTGGTAGCCAGGGGACATGGTGGCTATGTTTGATTGTGTCCTGATCTTTCTGCAGGTCCCACGCAGACGTAAAGGATGCCACTCTGGATGTTCTTGGTGATCCTCACCCTCACCAGCGCCTCCCAGTGCTCACTGACTCCCTCGCTTCCCTTCAGGTAAGCAGCAAGGATTCCTGAACTTCTGAGACCTCCCTGCCATGGCAGAGAGGATACAGAGATTGCTAATTGGAGCCACCAGCTGTTTCTTCACAGTATGCACTGATTATCTCAGGCAGTGACCAGAAATGGAGCCCCAGAGGCCAAGCAGCCAGGCTTTAAGTCTCTCTGGGAGTGAGGCGAGCACGGACAATGAAGGGAGGCCTTCCTGAGATATAGTGTAACTCTGTGCTCTTGCCTGGCCACATCCTAACCTCTGACCCCTTTACACAGGATGCGGCGCCACATAGACGCCGTCTTCACCAACAACTACAGGAGAGTTCTGACCCAGATGTATGTCCGCAAAATGCTCCAGGACATCATAAACCAGCAGCAGCAGAGGTAAGCAGCATTCTGCGGGCTTCTTCCCAGTGGCCTCTGCATCAGAGTTGGGAAAGCCCCATGCGGGAGGTGGGGTCTTCCCTGACTCGGTGTGTGCCAGTGCTTCCCAACCTTCATAATGCTGTGACTTCCTCATGCTCTGGTGACCCCCAAGCATACAATTATTTAGTTGCTATCTCCTAATTGTAATTTCACTACTGTTATGAATTGTAAATATTTGACACGTGATCCCGAAGGGGTCACAACCCATAGGCTGAGAACCACTGCCATGTATCCTTTCTGGCTTTTGCACAGGAAAAGCACCACTTAGACCTACTGTGTGCCTCTCCCTGTCCTTGGCTCCAGCAGTGACAATGCTGATGGTCATGTTCCTCTTTGATCAGGACTGCAGGCTAGAAAGAAACAAAGACTAGGCATGGGGACATGTGCATGCATGAGGACTACGCTGTGGACACAGGAAGCCTGTGCCAGGGCAGCCACTATGGCCTCCTCTCAGATCTTTGAGAGCACCTGTCATTACCCCATTGGACAGACCCACATGTCGCCTTTAAAGGACGCACCCAGAGTGGCCGAACAAAGATCCAAACAGCCCCAGTTTGTAGGGTTTTTGTTTTTGTTTTTTTTTTGGAAAACCTTCAGATGTACAAAAATGTCATGGGGATGGAGTTAGCACATGCTGCTTTTGCAGAGGAACTGAGTTCAATTTCCAGTACCCACGTGGAGGCTGACACCTGTCTGCGACTCCGGTCCTGGGGCTCCAACGCCCCCTTCTGGCTTCTACATACATGTAGATAAAAACACCCATACACATAAAAATAAATAATACAAAATCTAAAGCTACAGTAGTGCTCTTAAGAGTCAACAGCTTCTAACATTTTATCATTTTTCCCGAGATCAGTAGCACACATGTACACACCCGGATCCATGTACATCACAGGTCTCATGACCTTTTACCCAGTGGCACTTGTGTCTCCTAACACCTAACAAAGGACACCCTCTTTTGTTCTCAGTGCCACTATCAGTCACAGTGCATATCCAAACCTCATCAGTTAACAGATTCCTTTTTTCCACTTATTAAAATTTTATTTAAATTTTTATAAATTAGTTTATTCACTTTGTATCCCACCTGTAGCTCCCTCCCTCAGCCTCTCCCAGTCTCACCCTCCCTCCTTCATCTCTTCCCATGCCCTTCCCCAAGTCTACTGATAGGGGAGGTCCTCCTCCCCTTCCTTCTGACCCTAGCCTATCAGGTCTCATCAGAACTGGTTGCACTGTTTTCCTCTGTGCTTGGTAAGGCTGCTCTCCTATCAGGGGGAGGTGATGAAAGAGCCAGCTACTGAGTTCATGTCAGAGACAGTTCCTGTTCCCATTACTAGGGAATCCACTTGGAGACTGAGCTGCCATGGGCTATATCTGTGCAGGAGTTCTAGGTTATCTCCATGTATGGTCCTTGGTTGGAGTATCAGCCTCACAAAAGACCCCTGTGCCCAGAATTTTTTGATCTGTTGCTTTCCTTGTGGAGCTCCTGTCCCCTCCATGTCTTCCTATCTCCCCCTTCACTCTGTCTAAAGTTTGGCTATGAGTCTCAGCATAACAGATTCTTCATAATTCTTTTCGGATCCATGACCCAGTGAAGGATCACAGACTCCATTGAGTCATCATTGTATTTTTCCATTGTTAGATTTCTGTTATATATATGACTGTTTTTACTCACATGTGTGTCTGCTTACCATGAGCGTGCCAGGCACCCTCCAAAGTCAAAAGGATGCATTAGGTCCCTTGAAACTGGACTTATGGACAGCTAGGCAGCACCACATGGGTACTGGGAATCAAACCCGTGTCCTTTACAAGAGCTCTTAAAGGCTGAGCCATCTCTCCAGCCCTTCGTTATATCTTTCGAGTTTCTTTCCATCTGGAAAATGCCTGACTTTCATGACTTTGACAGCCTGGACTAGTAAATGTCATTGCTTCCTAGACTGTCCTTCACAAGGAACCTGTCCAAGATACTCTCATAATTAGTACTTGCTGTGGCCTTCTCAGCTGTGGTCTCAGCAGCCACCACACAGCAGTTTGCCTGACACTTGTTTAACATGCTATCTATAGGATTAGTAATCTGTGGGGAAGGCTTTGCAGTGGGATGGATATGCCTGCTGTACTTCTCACTGCCATGCCTACAGCTCCCCAGATGTCGCTGAATGTAAGCGTGTTTCCTAAGAATCCATATCAGATTCTGGAATAGCAAACAGCCCAGTCGGAGGGCTACACCCCTGACTGGACATCTTATCTACCAGAGACCTTACTGTTTTTTCCTTCCCAAGCCAAAGGGAGAAGAACGAGAAACAAGGCAGCAGGCTCAGCCGTGAGGTAGACAGCACGTGGGAAGACAAGCAGATAACACTGGATAGCATCTTGGTAGCCCTGAGGCAGAAGCACAGGTGAGTGGGGGAGAGCTTAGGTGAGGGGGAGATGGTAAAGGTAGGAGGGGAAGGGAGGGCACAGTCGGGGAGGGCAGAGGGAGAAAGAGAGCGGTTTTCCAGACAGGGTTTCTCTGGGAAGCCTTGCCTGTCCTGGAACTCAGCTGGCCTCTAACTCCGAGATCTGCGTGCCTCTCGCCCAAGTACTGGGATTAAAGGCATAGTTATCACCACTGATCCCAAAGAGATTTTCTTAGGACTTTAGAGACTTCCTTCCCTCTGGGTTTCCAAGAAAAGCAAAGACCCGTCTGTTCTTCCCAAGTGGGGCCTTAGTCTTCCTAGCAAAGGGACAGGGTCCCACCCCCAGGCCTCAGGGACAGGGAGGGAAATGTGAGGGGACTGCACACTGGCCACTGCAATGTGTCCAGTCCAGAGCAAGAGGTCAGGTTACTCACACTGATGTGACTGAAATATTATCAGTACTCCTGGTGTGGGTTTCAGACCCTTAACAAGTGCCCAAGGTACTGCACTGTGGGTGATTACAAGGGTGTGCCTCAGATGCCGGGTGAAGTCCATGAGCCTGCACTATCTAAGACAGGCTGGCTTTCCTGTGCTCACTGCTGCCCCAGGGCAGGCAGACGCTGCCATGAGAGCTGGTCATGACGGTCCTTCCCCATCTCACTGATCCTTACATTCCCACTGGGAGTAAGAGAGTATGAAGAATAGGTCTCCACTTTTACAGACCCTCTTCTGTAGAGAGAAGCTAAGGAGGCAGGTTGGAAAGATTAGCCAAGTCCAGGCTCGCATTGTCCACTTTGGGATATCTTCCCGTAAGACCCCAGTTTCCAAAGAATGGTGCAACAGTTCAAAAGAATCATCTGTATTTTACAGCCTGACTGTAAACTGAGCACACGAACTTCTGGTGTGACTCTGCTTCCACAGCAGCCTACGAAGCAAACACAGTTCCATCAGAGCTGTGTGTGCCCTCACCTTCCTTCCAACCTAAGTAGACACCCAGAGCTGGAGATCTCACCAGCTTCAGTCCAGGGAGCCACAAGCACCATCAGGCAGATGATGGAGGGTGGGATGGGGTGTGTGTAGAACCAGACTGGAGGCAGGGTAGAGGCTGGGCCCCAGGCCTGGCTCTGGATCTCTCTGCCCACGATTCCCTCCTTTATAAATGGAACAGGTGAACTCTGTTCCCTTCTAAGGGCTCAAAGTCTAGAACCCTGAGACTGATTTTGAAGAATTCCCTCCAGTGCCTCTCACCAGGAGAGGAGGTAATCTCCCTCTGGAGCCCAAAGGAAAGCATCTACAGGTCCATACATTACAAGGGGCCTAAGAGAAGAGGAGCTTGATAGCTCATGCCCGGTTACCCCAGTATTTGAGAGGTTAAGACAGGAAGATTAAGAGTTCAAGGCCAGGACTGGAGAGATGGCTCAGCAGTTCAGAGCACTGGCTGCTCTTCAGAGGACCTGCATTTGTAACCACAGTCCCATGGGATCCAATTCGCCCTTCCGGTTTGCAGACATGCATACAAATAAAACATCACATACATAAAATATACACATAAAATTTAAAAACCGGTTCAGGGGTAGCCTGGTTACTTAATAAGTTCTAGGTCAGCCTCAGCTAGTATGAGACCTTGCCTCAAAACTGTAGCGGTAGAAGGAAACAGTCTGTACCCAGCCACCTCTGCTATCCTCCCTGACAGGAAGCTGCCATTCTGAGTTAGCCATTCCTGGGCTGAGGATAGGCTGGGCTCAGGTGAGGGGTAGCTTCTATTCTCACGGAGTCTACTCCACCGAGGCCCTGAGGAGTACCACTTGTTCCTGTGAGGTTGCTCATTCAATGTGTGACCAACAGAAAGGGTGAGGCACATGTTTGTGTGGGAAGAAGCTGGTCCTGTCTAAGGGTCAGAGAGGAAGTGACTAGTCCAGGGCCTCAGTGGCAGCCGATTAGCAAGACAGGGGCTAAGAATGAGATTTACATTGCTGAGACCCAAGAGCATTTTTTTTCCTGCCACTGCTTCTGGGAACCCAGAGGTTCTGCCCCTGCCTGGAACCCCAATTATCATGGTACCTAACATTTGGATTGAGTGTCTCTTTCTTTCTGCAACAGGGATTCCTAAGGATGAAGGCTTCAGCGGATGCTTGAGCCCCCTGGCCCCCAAACACAACAAGTAACTTCTACTTCACCTCTGACCTTTTTCTGCCTCTGTAAATAGAATAAAACCCTCCATCCTCATCTGCAGTTCCGCGTCCTTTATTGTTACTGACTTCTTTTTTTAAATGTGATTTATATGGTTACCTCTCCCAGGCAGCATGACAAAGTACGGTGATACAGAGCAGCTGGAGCTGGGGAGAGAGCTCAGTTGGTAAAGTTCTTGCTCAGTCTCTAGTACCCACAGAAAAGCTAGGCATGGGAGTGCAGCCTATAGCCTCAGAGAGTGTGGTGGAGTTAAGAAAGATTAACCCCTGAGGCTCACTGAACAGTAAGTTTAGTCTAGTCTGTGAGTCCCAAGATCCAGTGAGAGATGTCTCAGAAAACAGTGACTGTCCTTGGCACAGTAAATTCCAGGTCAATCTGGGCTACATATAATGCTTTCTCAAAAAAAAAAAAGAGGGGGGGGGAGCCATTTTATTGTAAGTAAATTAAGCCTTAAAAATTGACAACTGTGAAACCTGAATGAAGGGATGTCTGGAATGACTGATTACAAGTGTAAAAATAACCACAGCATTTAAAATCGGATGGGACTCCTACCTCTTTCCCAGCCAGCCTAGTTCAAGGCCAGCAGGAAAAGGGAGCACTTGACCTCACTCCTGGGAAGCCTGCAACCAGGTCTCCTGTCTCCCAGCACCAGCCTATGAAAGACCACCTGCTCCCCAGAGAGCCTGGACAAGAAAGCAAAGCGTGGGAAATCCACTGGAAGAGGCCGTTCCTTGGCTGGTGGAGACAATGAGAATAATGGGAAACAAAAGCTCCTCCAAAGGAGAAGGCTAGCCCAGAAGGGCAGGAGGCGGGGAACCTGCCAAGGCCTGGGACAAAGGAGGAGCTGAATGGGAGACCTACAACGCCCCAGGCCTCCCTCCCGGCCCCACCTGCTCATCTCTTTCCCTGCCCCGTCCTGAAAGCAAAAATTCGGGGCTCTCTCAACTTTCACTTTTCAAATGAAATAATAACTGATGAGGACTGAGGCTACTTGTGGGTTTTGAGGTGAATGCAGTTAGAGGGCAAAACCATTGCAGCCACTGTGGGCTTTATCTCCATTGGCGGAGACTAATGCCAGCTTAAAAAACTTAGCTCCTCCCCCTAGAGGATCTGGGAGCTTCCCTCTCCTGAGGGGCCCTACTTAAGACTAGGGACTATTTTCATTGCACTAAAGATGTTTTCTAATCAAGAGGACTTGTTCCTTTCATGTTTGTGTTAACTTGGAGTTCACAGAGAGACTCCCTACAACTGCCCTTTGGAGGGGGCACTTACTGGCAAGCTGCCTACCAAGGTCAGGGCGACTGGTACTACACACCCAAGAGACAGCAAAACCAGGGACTGATGGGTGTGTGTGTTGGGGGGGGGGGCACTGCTTTTGTATGGCTGTGAGACTTCAGGCCCCTCAGAACTTCGAGCTGGAACATCAAGTGACTTAAAAACCATCATTAAGTAAAAATAAATATAGTCAAGGGCTGTGCCCAGCTTGGGCTACATAGTGGGACCTTGTCTCAACAAACAAACATTTACTAGTCCTTAGGGGCTAGGGAGATGATTCAGTCATAAAGTGCTGGCTGTGAAGGCATGAGGACCCCATTTAGATCCCCATTGCCAACTCAAACGCCAGGGACAGTGGTGCCTGACTCTGACAATCCCAGCACTGGGGAGGAAGAGATAGGCAGACCTTAGGATTTCACTTGCCAAACAGCCACGCCCATTTGGCCAGTTTGAAGTTAAAGTGGTTGTGAGCTGCCCCATGTGGTGTTAAGACACTGAACCCGGGAGGCCTCTGCAGGAGCAAAATGTGCTCTTAACTACTCAGCTCCCTCAAAATCCAGGCTTTTAAAATATAAAATCTCTCAGAGAATAATGCGTGGGTGTGTGAACATGTGTACGTGGAGGCGAAGGGTCCACTTCAGGCACCATCCACCTTGTTTTTGAGAGTCTCTTGCTGGCCTGGGACCCTCTGCCTATGGCAGGAGCTCTAGGATCCGCCTGTGCTCCCCCAGTGTTGAGATTACAAGAAGACTCAGCGTTAAGTCATGGGGACTGGAATCAAACTCACATTCTCATGCTTGCACCCACTGAGGCACCTTTCTAGCCCAAATAACTCAATTTTTAAATGCTGGCATCTAGTTCAATTAACCACCATGGATAAAACAACATACTTCTAGGCACTGTTTTGCAGTACCTGGGAGAGATAAGGCCTACAATTTGCAGAATTGCAGATAGAACTATTTTGGAGTTTTAAGATCTCCTTCCCTTCCCCAACCAAACCCCAATTTCCTTACCATAGCAAAATCCAGTAAGGCTGAAAAGCAACCTCTACAGCACAAATTGAATCAAAGATTCTAAGATGTAGTGCTGTCTACTCTGGGTCTCATATTCCTCCTGTTTCAGCCTCTTGAGTGGATTACAAATGGATGCCACCACGAAATGTATCATGTTTCAATAGCATTAAAGACAATGGGCCAAATTATAGTCATATGCATTTGTTCTTAAATATTAGTGTGTGTTGCTGAGGCAGGGCCTCTCTATGGACTCCAGGCTAATCCTATTCGTCTCCCATCTTGCTGCAGGGGTGCTGGGATAGCAGGTGTTTACTCAAGTGGTCAGTGCTGTGGTCTGAATTATAGTCTCTCCAGAATCATGCTGAAAAATATCCCTAATGCATCGCAATAAGAGGTGGGCGAGTCACACAAGTGGAAGGATTATTACCTCTATACAAGGGCTAGGGGAACTAAGCTAGCTGCTTTTTGTTATTCTGTCCCTTCTGTCACTGCAAATACTGCGAACACTCAGATGGCACCAATATCATCTAGGAGAAACAGTCTCTCTCACTACACACCAAATCTGTCAGTGCCTTCAGGTTCCTAGTTCCCATGATCTGTCTGTCTGCCTGCCTGCCTGCCTGCCTCTATCTATATCCATCTATTATTTATAAATTATCCATCCATCTTTAAATTTTTTTTTCTTTTTGGTTTTTCTTTTATTATTTACATTAGTGTTCTGCCTCCATGTATGTCTGTGTGGGGTGTCAGATCCTCTGACTAGAATTATAGAGAGTTCTGAACTGCTATATGGGTGCTGGGATTTGAACCCGAGTCCTTTAGAAGAGCAGTGAGTGCTTTTAACCACTGAGCCATCTCTCCAAGGCTTCCATCTATCTATTTTAGTGTTTATAAATTATCTATCTTACTGCCTATAAGTGATCCACTGTACTAAATTGCCAGCCTACTTTGTGGTATTTTGTCACAGAAAGAACGAACTGAGGCAGTCAGCTTTATTCTTTTTAGACATTGCTACATGCCAAGGCCAAACGTTCAAAGACTTAGAGCAGGTCTTTTGGCTGAACACAGAAGGCTCTTCAAAAACAAGGATGGCTCATATGAAGTGCTTGCTGCTAGAGCAGAAAGGACACAGGCTTTTCTAGGCCACTCTCAGTACTGTTAAAACAGGAGTTAGCCTGGGCTATACAGAGAGGTGGGAGGGTAAGATGGACCAATTGAGACACCAGACACTTTTAACCCAGCCCCAGCTAAGTCCTCACATGACACACTCAAGGCTCCATCAACACTGGGAATGCACTCTCAGGCAAACCTTCATTTCTATCACCATTCTCTTTATTCAGGCAGATGAATTACAGACTTCAACCTTTCAAATGCAACATCTGGGGTATTCACAGCATCTTGCCAGGCATCATGACAAAGGGACAGACAACGTGAGCCCAGACATACCTGCTATGTGAAGCAGAAAGTAAAAAACAAATAAAAGCGTAACCACATCTCAACTTTGTCCTTTTTAAATAACAGATTTTTTTTTTTTTCACTTTCTGTTTTGTTTTACCATCATTCCTCTTTTCACACTATGAATTGTCTCCACTCCTTGTTAAACATTCATTTCAGTTTTCAGGGCCTTCAACCTTCTTCTGGAACTAATGTGCTGTTCTGGAAGAAAATGAAGACAGACACATAATCAATGACGGTTTCAACTGATGGTTATGGTTCCTAAGTGGGACAACAGGGAGACTAAATTGTTCTCCCACTGGAAGATGTTATTTACAAGGGGACAGCCCTAAATCTATTGGTTCCATTTATATCTGTCCCTCTCATTTCAAAAGTCAACCAAAGCCCATGACGACTTGAAAATCACGAAGTAACCCTGATAAACTAAGGAAGGAGCATGTGAAACATGGGGATGAGGTAATTCCAGGCACACCCCTCACAGTACAGGCCAAAAAGAGAGAGAAGACTTCAGCAAGAAAAACAGAGACAAGTTTAATGCTGCCAGCTGGCTGCATTCTTGCCAGCACAGACTCAGCTCCTCAGCTAACACAGAAAAAGTATGGAAATGGCACTTGGCTCACAAAACCATTGCTTTTGTTTGGTTGGTTTTCTTTTTCTTTTTGTGTGTAGGTTACTTGGTTCGTTTTGTTTTTGAGAGAGGGTCTTGTGATATAGCTCAGGTTAGCCCAAAACTTATAATTCTCCTGCCTCAGCCTCTTGAGTGCTGGGACAGTGTACTTTTCAGATAAGAATGTCTCTGCCACTTTCTTCCCACCTGACTCTAAGAAGAGCTGTGGAAGCTTGAGAAGAAAAACTTATAATCCAAATGGAAGGCAACCAGGAGGGGACAGCAGCAAGCAAATGGCAAGCAGAAGTGTCCTCAGTGGGCAGTGGAGTCATGGTGAGCACTGGAAAGATTTTATCACTTTCACAGAATGGCAGGCTTCAAACTAACCCATAAGGCAGTCCCCAGGAGGGTATGCAGGCATGGTGCTGAGTCCTAAGGACTAGAGTGTGTGCCACTAATTCTTTACCAATGCTCACAAATTCCTGACATTAGGAAGTGTGCTTGGCAGTGACCGTGTTGGAAGGACAACAAGGGTATGAAATGAAGCAGCAGAACTCGAAGCCCTCAACCTTGGCCACGAACTGAGGGCCTTTGCCATACCCACTCAAACCAACGTGTCTTCAGTCAGCAGCCCTGAGCCACAAGGGTGTAAGCCTGCACACTGGGTTCTAGGCCCGACAGGCC